TTTATAGAAATTATAGAGGAAATTATTCTTGAAAACTTTTATTTACTAGGAAAACAAAAGTGAATGACGTAAAACGATTTACATTATATCATTATATTGCATACTATGCGAATTGCGGTATTAAAAATCTAGAAATAGTAGACTATTAAATTATATTAATTTTTTATTACATTTGTGATTGAAATAAACTCAATATTCCGATTTATTAAAATTTTATTTGAACCACATTTTTTCTGATATTCGCGGTATATTTTGGATATTTACAAATTGCTATAAATACGAGGCTAAATTAAAAACAAGATACTGATTTAACACGGAATTGTTTTAGATGGCAATTATGTGAATATTAATTTGAAAGTGCCACTTTATATTTATTAATATCATAATGTTTTTCTAGCAGCTTATAATTATTTTCATGTTTTTCTTAATAAAATCTGCATTTTTATACTCAGAGCTTTTATAATAATTGCACAAAATTTACATTGTTATCTTTAAAATATTTATAGCTGCATAAAATTGATTTATGTGGCGTGAGCAGCATATTAATATCGAATAAGTAAAATTTGGTTGTAGCGTGGTCATCATTTATTATAATTTCTCATATTGTGGTTTTCTGTAAAATTAATTAATTGAAAACGGGACAGTGAAATTTGTGCACTAATGGTAATCAGTTTTATATTTTGTGTATATATTTTATATATACATTACACACAATACTTCTTCTATGACATATATTGTTCACATATTAAACACACGCACAACACTTGTTTTTCTAATATTTATTGTAATATTTGTAAAAATTGTCTTTTTACAACAAAATTTTTATTGTGCATAATATAATCAAATCAAAGCGCCTTGATCGTAAGAAATAGGAAGCGCCTTTTATCGAGGTAACTTTCTAAAATATCTATCTTCTTAAGGAATCATGAAAAGAATGCCGGAATATCGCAGAAAAAATGTTTATTGATGCTGTTTACAATCGTCACTCTTGGCACTATTCTGATTTCACGATTCTCACGATTTTAATACTCTCTAATAATTTAGTATTTGCGTAAAATGACAAATTGCGCGCGACAAATCAGATTTAAACGGTGAAAGATTCGAAGGATAAACACTAATTCTTTCCGGATTTACGTTAGTTGTCAACTGTGGTGAATCATGAAGCGATTTTTGTCCCTCTCACCGCGAAAAGTACTAGCGCACGATTGCGCAACGAACCAAACTTTCCCTCACATTGATCGAATTTCCGAGTAGATAGTCAATATTCGAGAACCGCTGTATGTAGCTCGCGTTTATTATGCATATTAGCGATTATCGGTAATTGATATGTGCCGCAGCAATATTCAGACAGATATCTATTAGTTTGCTATGTCCGCACTATTTCGTCAGTAATATTGTATTATATGTAATCTTGCAACACATCTTAGTAAAATATTATATAATGTGCATATTATATTGTGATATATGTTAAAATAGCCAAATCGTAATAATTATACTTTTATCTTACAATATAATTTTTATTGTATTTGTTTTATGAAATTTATATTAATAAAATATGAATTGAGAAATGAATTACAATTCATATAATTTTGAAACATTAAAAATACGTTCACATTTTCCAAAAGCTTTTTAAAATCAACGATTTATATTGTATTACAAAATAAAAATGGAAACAAAAAGTAAAATATAAAATAAAAAATTTGACGAATTTTAATAAAAAGCTTTTCACGCTTTTAATATTGTTAACAAAATTTAAATTTTTTCGATAAGCTTGCAACAGTAATTTCTCGGTAAAACTTTCTATTTTATCCAATTCGTTGTATTATAACATCTATATTACGTACGTATTACATCGTACGTATTACACTGGTTAATGAACGGGATCAATCGTTTTTTAGGCTGGATTGCGATAGTATTCTATATTTCATTAAGATCGTCACATTTCTTACGGTAGCCTTCATTAATTTTTATGCGGCCTGAGAAAACCGGTTTTTTTTTCGTGTTCTGACTTCGCGTCTTATGAGTATGGCCACTCGTATCTGGGTGATATCCGGTTTCGTGTATCGTTTTCTCGTCTGAAGCCGTCTCGAGTTTTCGGCGTTCGTCGTAGAAAGCGACGCGCCGCGAGCGTATCGTATCGTGAATTCTTCCACGTGCCAATTTATACGCTTCTATTCGCGAAGCTAAGCACATAATCGAATGATGTTGATCGGAAAATAGCGCCTTCCGTAATTTCGATACGCTTATAGCTCGTTTTATTGCGCTTGCAATACATTATTTTATAAAATATTGTTTAATAATTGTGATAAAGAATTTTTTAAGAGGTGTTACAGTATCTCGCTTTAAGTGAATAATAAATAAATCCTATCTATCACATTAAAAAAATTCTCGGAGTGCAAAAAAGTTAATCTCTATGAATTTTAATACTTATAAGTCAATTTTTTTTTAATTATCCGAAAATATTAACTATTTTTTTCTAAGATATTATTTTAAATTAATGATATCAAATAGATATACAGTGACCACCTTAGACTTAGTGATCGAAGTATCTATTAAACTAAGCAGATCTGTTCGCATCCGATCGTTTCAAATAGAATGATTGTTTGACTTCGAGTTTATGACACTACGAATCACAAAGTAATATTTCTCTCAAAGTATTCGACACTTCCTATGAAACTGCGCATTCAACAAAACTCGTTTAATTAACACCACAATCTGTCTTTAGTAATCTTTTCCCCGATAAGTATGACAATAGCACTTCGTATTATCTGTATTCTGTTTGGCGAGACTACGATTCCGTAATGCTTGTGTACATTCTCTATTCTGCAACGCCAAGGGCATGCACATATCTAAATTGCGTAAAATCTTAATTGATATACTTATTTGCGAGAGAATTAATATTATTAAAAGCAGAACAGTAAACTTGAAATTTAAATTTGCGCTTTACAAATTCTACAAATTACTTCTATAAATTTTTAAAGTTTTTAGGATTATGGAAGAAAATATTCAACACTTTTAGTTTTAATCTTAAATTTTTAGAAAGTATAAAAGCGTAATTAAATTATTTTAAGTCAGAAATATACCAAATAGAGGAAAGTTGTGAATAATTATACTACCTGCAGCGAAACGACGAAATATCTCTTCGCTGTAAGAGGTAAGTTTAAAGCTATAACATAAAAAATAAATCTAGTTAATTAAAATTGCGTAATTTTACAGATTTGAATATTCTATGATATAAATGAGAAATGCGCATTAAAAGTTCGAAAGTAGAAATTTGATTGAACTTGATAGAACTTTAACAAATCTAAAATTCTTCTGGGATCGAATTGCATCGCGATGGATAAACTGGCTGAAATAACAAAGCTAATTTTTTTGGCAGTTTGTTAAACCAAACAAATGGAATGCAATCTCAAATAACAATTTAAGATTGCAATATAATAATTAAGTAATAATATTCAAAAAAATAAAATAAAATTAATAATTAAATTAAATTATTAATTAAATTAAATTAATAAAATAAATAAAGTTAAATTAAATTAAATTAAATTTTATTTATTTTATAATTAAATTTAAGAACATAAATTTTATTTATTTTGTAATTAAATTTAAAAACATTAATGATTGGTATCATTATTATTAAGTAATGAAAGATAATCATATTACAATTGTTACTGCTAAAATCTCAACTAATTATTGTTATTCAAAAAAGCATTATCTGCAACAACTATAGTTCACGCGAACAAAGACTATTATTTGAAATTTTACTTTTATCGAAAAATATATTGTATCATTTTTCACAATTACGCGAGAAATATTCCTATTGTTTTTGTTTGTTGATATTCTTCCTTTTTTGATTATAAAACTAGACAATGAAGACTATGAATTATAAAAAAAAAGAGAGTGAAACCGTAGTTAAAAAACATCAATAATTAAGGTAACCGAGAAATAGTTTGTTAAATCAATTTTCTCAATTTTTCAATACAGCTGCTTTAATTTTAGAAATGTGTAATACATTTAAACAACTTCAACATTTACTTTGATAAACGAATAAGCAATTCATGTCGAAGATTTGAGCATCAATTCAAGAGTTTTTCAATTCTAGAAAAGTAAATCTCACTAAAACAATCTATACAGAAAATGTTAATAAGAATTCACGGAGAGCAGCGATGCGAACGCGTCAGTACCTCACGGTAACTGCAAATTTTCTTCGCGATTTCACTTTCTCCAATGTGGCATAATTGCGCGTGTTACGAATCGTAATGCTCGATTCCGCGCGACATGGTCGCTCGTGTAATGCAATCGCGTGAACGTGTTTCAACAATGCAGAACTTGCGTACGCTTTAAGCACCTCTTACGCGCATACAACACATACGACATATTTATCGGCATTTCAATAAATCGACAGATTTATCTCACAATCAGCAACATGATACGCGCGCATTTCAATAATTAAAACTGTAATGTCTTTTTAATTTTAATATTTTATGTAATGATACTTTTTTTTACATTTTTTATAATATCACATATATAGAACCTTAACTTGCAATCATAATCACGTATGATGTAATTAAGCTGTAATTAGAATCTTACATTTATATTTTGTTGGATACACGCTGTGCACATGGTTATGTATTAAAACGTGATGAAAGAGAATTCGAAACATTTCCGTTCGTGGGAAATTGGAAATTCTCTTATACGTATACGTAATTTTGTACGTAAATTTATTTAAAAAAAATGTTTTTATGGTGAAAGGATACAAAATATAAAGAATTAAATATTCGTAGAAATTTACGTTGCACTTTACTCACTGTTTGAGCGTATTTAAAGTGATAGAATAATAAAACGTCAAAAATTTTAATAACTGGCAGTAAAATTTTTTATCTCAAAATTTAGTGGAAATGTTAAAAGCTCGTTATAATTGCAATTATACGAGTATATTAAAATTATAACAAACGATTTAGCATACTTATCATTAGCGCATGCAGCAACTTTTTAATTAATATCATTGAAGCAATGCTAATAAAAAGTAGAACAGCTGGAATGTATTCCTATTGAAATAATAACTGTGAATAACTGAATAGAAACAAAGAATGAAGGAGCAACACACCGAGATAAATTGTTTACTTACTGTGAAGACTTTATTGTCTCCGTAAAATATAGAATAATTGCTTATTTTTTACACAATTTATATCACAGTCTTCAAACATGAATGGCAGTCAGAACAACGTCGAAATTCCATACATTTCTACATTAAGCAATTGAAAGCATAGGAAATTTTTTAAATTAGATAAGCATCAAATGAGAAATTATGCAGTGAAATTTTGTTTTCTATATTCAAATAGATTTGGCTTTAATTTTAACTTTGTATTTGTCGTTTTGTTTTTAAAAGAATTAAATTAAAAAGTAAAAAAGTATCTGTTACTCAAATTATTTCATTGTGATAAAATTGATGTTAAATTATTAAAAATATTTATAGCTAACAATAAGAGACAGAAATATAATTCTCCTGGAGAATAATCTGAAAGAAGGAAAAAGTTTTAACCTAATCTAACCTAATCTAATCTAACCGTGCATAATGCTATATAAAAACTTATTGGCATACGTAGCAAAATAAGGGATATATTCATATCAGATGAAAATAACAGAATTGAGAACAAAAAATGCAAATAATAACTAAGCCCATTGCGAGGTATTGTGCAATTATTTTGATTACACACACTATAGAAAACAAGCAGTTGTAGAGAAATAACATGTGCAGATTAAAATAATATTTAAGCACATTTATCTCTTATTTCAATCCATCTATATAAATTTTGAAATTGCACTTAAATAATAATCTCTTTAGTGACATTAAGCCAATTTTGAAACTTTGAAAGCTGTAAAATAATTTTGGATGTAAAAAAACCGAACATGCAAACTTGTTATTTTTAGTATGCAAATTATTCACATTTCTAATAAAATTTCTATTATTTGCATTTCGTCCGGAGTTCGATATAGTATCTTTTACAATAAATAAGAGCAAAAATAATATATTTATGCATAGTAGATAATTATCGGTGCGATCGCGGAATTTTAATTGCGTGGAGCTATCCATATAATTAAAGCCACGATATTTCGAGGCATTGCTACTATACCTTTCACACTTTTCATCCAATTTCTACTTGTATGCAATTAATTACAGCTGCTCAAATGAACGAGCAGCTACGTTGCTTAGAGATTGTGTAGAGTTTCAAGCGGATAACCCAATTTTAGGAAATTGATTGTGTAACCATTAGCAAGAGTTTTATTTCTTACCTTTTTTGGTATCTTTCTCGCTTGGGCAATCAAATTAATAAAAAAATGATAAAATAAAAAAATTATAAAAAATATAATTTTGCATATACGTGGGTTATTTAAACAATTTTCGCAATAAATAACATAAATATAGATTTTGGAGAATAATTAATTCAAGTTTCTGAAATCACTAAGACTGTAATCATCTCATTGTTAGATAAATTTTAATATCAAAACTAATGAATTGTGTATGAAAAAGCTTTCCGCAAAATAAATATTATGTTTGCGATCAAAATAACGAGCGTTTCTATACAAGTGGGAATATCAATAAATTAAAGTCTGACTTACATTCTTTTTTCACTGATGAAAAAAATTCCTTTCTGGAAAGAGATTTCCGTCCGATAAAAAAATGAAGGAAACAGTTGCTGTGTGTGTGTGAATATTTTTCAGGCCTTGACGAATTCGAATTTTATAATAGGATAACTTTGGAGCATCATTGGTCCAAGTGCATTGATGAAAAATTCTAAGAAAGATTATATTAAAAAATAAGAATAGTTTCAAAAGATATAAACCGTTTATCTATTTTATTTTGAGAACTTTTTAAAGGACCCATGTATTTAAATAAATATTGGATTAGTATATTTTTCTACCTTGAATCATGCCTTAATTAAGGCTACTTCTAATTGTTATCCCAGCATCTTCAGTATCATTGCTCCACGTACCATCCTTCCCCTCCTTGCTTTATTATTCATAATTAATAGAGACAGGCGGCATGCAATTCGATTTTTCTGTTTTCTTTGCTAACTGCTGGTTGATGTTCTTCATCTCTATTTTTTCTATTATAGTTCTTCCCGTGTTACGGCTATCTTTGTTCGTCCTCAAATCCTTATTGATGAAAAACATTTTTTTCCAAGCGCGAGTGAACTGGATATTCATACTTGTATATATTATCGGATTGTAGCAGATAGAGGATTTTGCGAGAAGCGCTGGCATCATCGCTGCGACATACGATACTTGTACCTGCGGTATGAATTAATCGTTCTTTATGAGCTTTTATAATCCTTCAAAGCGCACCATATAAGTAGAAAATTAATTAAGTAGTTAAAAGGCTATTGGTGTGTCGGCTATTATATCCCGATATGGTTAGACAATTATAGGGAGGTCAGTCTTTCTTGACCTCGTCAATTAGACAAAAGAATTTCGTCACGTAAATGTATAATGTAATTCCATTTCTATTCCATTCCATTCTATTCTATTCTATTCTATTCTATTCTATTCCATTATGATTTTATCATTTATTTATCTCACCAGTGTTTTAGATTTACATTTAGATTTGATCTTACCAATTGGAACATAATTTGACAATTTTTTTTAGAACGTTGACTTTGTCATGATTGGAAATACTCACGTTGAAAAAAACTAAGAGCGCAAGAATGGCGTAGGGCGACCAAGCAAATAGAAAAGCAAGGATCATTAAATACACCATCTTTGTGATTTTTGCTTCCCGTTTAGTATTTCTACTTCCTAAAGCAAAAGGAGTTATCAAAAACAACAAAAGTTAGTGAAAATTTTTTTAACTAAAATTTTTAAAATTAAAATTTAAGGAAATTTATTGTTTTACGTTAAAATTGGAAAAGTATGTACCAGAAACTCACCTATTCTTTGTCTTATTTTCTTCAAAGTTGTTAGTATACCGCAGTAACTACTAATAATTATTGCGAGAGGAAAGAAGAATCCAAAAGTGAATAAAAATCCAATGTAAGTATCATTATGTATCTCAGGATCGTGCAGGTCCCAGGATACGCTGCAGGATATATTACCTGCTTCTATGCCATAACTCCCCCAATTAACAAACGGTGGTAATGAGAGGGAGAGCGCATATATCCAAACGAATAACACCAATGCGTAGGCATGCCTAGATAAAAAATAACGAAATTCCAAAGATAAATATTTAACATAAGCACATAATTTACAATAAATGTGAAAGAGAATTAATTTTATATATATAGGATACAGAGTTTTTCAATGTTTTAAATTCCCACTTTTAGTATACAAACAAAATAAATTACTTTCTTATTCACTCAAAAAAATGATCTTGCAATAATAGCTAAAATTTTCTAGGTGTAAAATTAACTAAACAGATAAATGATTAGCAACTGTTGTGATATTGCATATGTAATTACTTAGTCAGTTTAGATGACAGAAACAGAATATATATCTGTATTGTTTGTGAACTTTAAAAAGAAAGTTTCTCTAAAGCGTCTATCTATATAAGATCAATCACGTGTTAGATCATGCAATGAATAACATTTAGCAATGGTACCTAAATTTTTCAGAAGCTATTGCTAGAACATTACTGTTATAAATTCTATATGTGACAAACAATGTTTTCACAGATACGAAAAATAGCGATACATTTTTGTTGCAATATCTAGAAATCTAACTACATCAGCGAAATATTTTTTTGAGTGTTTTATATCTTTCTTATTTATTATATTATCGGATTGTAGCAAATAAAGGATGTTTTGCAAATTTTATAACAAAGTTTACTAATATTAATTAGTCAATTTATTTATTAGTTAGTCAACATATTAATTTAGTCAATTTATCGTCAGCCGTCGTTTAAATACTATTTATGTAATTAGTAAATGTTAATAGTGCAAAATATAGGATAAAAAAGAAACTAATTTATTTCAACATATCTACAGAAATCAAGTATATATGCTCGCTTTTGATGTTATAATCCAAAATGGTCACAGTGTATGACGAAAGCCTTTCTAACTCGTTAACGCAATGGTTGAATCGTTAGTGGAATAAAGGATTTATTTTCAAAGTGTATTATAAATCCGTCTTATCCCCTTTGTACTAGCATTTTTTTATTCATAAAACAAGGCAATTTCTTCGATAACAAGCAGATCATTTTTAATCCATTGTTAATTGCAAAAATATATGTTGGAAAATAATTCTTGTCTTATTATAGAACAAACTTGTCGCGAAAAGGAAAGCGCGGATTAATACATGTAAACATGTAAATGCGGCAATCGTATGTCTCATATAGGGTGCGTTCCACTTAACGCCCGCAACGCTCCTAGGATCATTTTATCCTTGTTTTTCATCGAAAGTTAAACGAGGATAAAATGATTCTAGGAGCGTTGCGGGCGTTAAATGGAACGCACCCATAGACGCGCGCTAGCGACTGATAGCTCTCTCTCGTAGGCGATTGTGGCTGACCGTTGTGAGCTCACCGGGATAAGGATCGTATGGATATAAAGATATACATATATAAAGATAAATAAGATAGGATTAATTTTACTTTTTAATTAATTTAGCAAGTCTGATCTGCGTTAGACACTTCGTTTTCTCTTTCTTTTGTCATAATAATTATTGTTTCTAAAGCGAAAGCTCAGGATCAGAAAACAGTTTTTTTTATACAGAGAGATGTCTCGTGTATGTGGTCGACACCATAATCTTGCAATTTCTGCTTTATAAAATAAAACTATCTTTTTGTTTACTAAAACACTGCGATTAAACTTATTTTCTAATACATATTTTTTAATATGAATATATTAAAAGGAAAGAACCTTGAGATGCACTTTAATATCGCATGACAATGCTGTATTTCACAAGAAACAGAATGACTCGTGATGTCTTTGATGAATAAATAAAAAATTAAAAAAAGTTACGTGATAAATGATAAAAGAAATGGAAAAATTAACGTAATTAATAAAATAGTAATAAGAGAAGGGGATCAAGAGCCGACGCTGGATGTAAATGCTTCTTAAATCTTCTTTATTTAAAAGAGTCGAGTAAACGTTTTTGTCGTCAATCCGATCATCTTCAGTACAAAATCTGGAATTCGAAGAATTGTGAGAGTCTTATAAAACAAAACGTTGGAAGTCGTCTTCTAATGTAGCTGTCATTTTATACGAGACAGAAATATGTGTGAAGACATGCGTAATCTTTGACTAGTAGTCTGTTTAAAAGATTGTGAGCTACTGTGTACTCTCAGACTACTAGTCAAAGATTACACATGTCTTCACACATATTTCTGTCTTGTTTGAAATAACAGTTATATTACTGGGAATACACAGTAGCTCACAATCTTTTAAACAAACTACTAGTCAAAGATTACACATGTCTTCACACATACTATTTCTGTCTCGTATGAAATAACAGCTACATTAAAGGACGACTTCTAATGCTTTGTTTTATAAGACTCTCACAATTCTTCGAATTTCAGATTTTGTACTGAAGATGGTCGAATTGACGACAGAAACGTTTACTCAACTCTTTTAAATAAAGAAGATTTAAGAAGCACTTACATCCAATGTCGGCTCTTGATTCTCTTCTCTTATCACTATTTTATTAATTATTGTGAGCCTTTAAACAATTCTTGTTAACGTAATTAATTTAATAAAACTTATCGCAAACTCATATAAAATTATGTTTCGAAGGTGTTCATGACTACTTCGCGGATATGATGAGCAATGTCGCTTCTCGGAAAACGTTGCGATGAAAGTGCGCGATGGAAAGTCAAGGAATGCATAAATTAATCACTACGTCGTGCGTCACGTTTGTGTGTATCATAATTGTTATATTGTCATAACAAAACAAAAATTGTTTACCGAGAGTTATATTAGGAACAGGAAGACGTTGATCCATGTTGTGAATGAAAATAAATTGTTGCTATCTTTTATATTACAATAATATGATCATTGATTGTTTACCTTATCGATATTGTCTTTGTCGGATATTTCACCAATATGTACCTCTCAATTGCCATCATTGTTAAATTACCGATACTGGCGAATCCCATTGTAGACATAAACGCAGCGTACCTATAAAGTTACAGAATCAGCAAAAATTTCCCTAATTATATGTACATAGCACGAATAATTGAATAAAATATTTTTACGATAATTATTAGTGAATCAATCTTAGATTTATGATATCTTTTATTTTTTTATAATTAAAGAAAAAACTATACATTATTAAACTTTTTAGTCGTAAATTACTTGAGCAAAAAATGGTTAATATTTTAATTAAAATAACATGAGAGTTTCCTGATGAGATAAAAAAAGAAGGCTATCACAATAAAACTGACATATGAGTTTTTAACATTTAAATATTTTTATTTTAGACTGCTCAGTTGTTATTGTAACAAAAAATACACACATGGTACTTTTTATCGATTGTGTCTAAAGTTATGCACACTGTTAGTTCAATTATTCTAACAAATTTTATTATTTTAAGGAATAAAAGCTTTTATAAACAATGTCAGTTTATTTATATAATAAATAATATATACCATAGGCACATTTTGTGACCCCAATACCATTCACCTGCGATCGCTGACACGAATGCCATAGGATTTCCCAGGATAGCTACCAAAAAATCTCCAATCTGTTGCAGTAAACACATCAGAGATTATAAATACACTTAAAACTGTTTATATAAACCAATTGACATCAAATTTTATTATACATTTTAGAATGGCTATTTTTTCAAACTTAAAGCTTGAGGACAAGAAATCGATTACATTGCCTCAGTTTTCGAAATTACGCATAGTAATTTTGTTTACGCCAATTAACAAGTATCCATTGATAAGTCTCGAATGGAATGATGAATAGATAAATGGTGAATAGTATATCAATAGTGTTGTCTATATTTTTCAATAATTTGATTGAGTTTTCAACATAGTAATAGAAAAGCTTCTCTTTAAATTATATATATAGTTATAACTTGAAAATATGGATATGAAAATCATATATTTATCAGTCGATCTGAATATATTAAGCACTCTATATATGTCTATACATGACTTGCATATTCGTATCGTTAGTGAAACTTCGTGGTTAGTGATAATTTAAGTATCCTCGTCGCTAATCCTCTTCCTTTTTTTGTCCTACTCATCTCATTAAGGAAAAAGTTATCTCTGATTATGTAACGAAACACAATAGGATGCCGCATAAATTACGGTCTAGATGCTGCATAAAATACAAACGATCCTATAGAAGAGTTTTTTATTCTTATTTTCTACCTAGAAGTGACTTGACATTTGAAAATATTTCTATTTAATATAAATTTCAGAAATACTGTGCGTCTTATACATCTTGATATACGTCTTGAGATTTGCATTTATATACATTTTTTAATTAAATAAAAATTACTAAAATGTTTTATATATTTTATTAATTAATTACCTTCAAGTATAGAATTATTGTAAAAGCCGTTTTTAAAAATCTGCGATATATTCAAATACTTGAGAATTTGCAGGTCACTGCAGTTTAGTTTTAAAATTCGTTCGACAAATGATGATTTCCCACAATACTTCCGCTAAGTAAAAATCAATTTCAAGTTGACCAAAATAGTTGTAGATTAAAGATAGCTGCAGAAGTTGGAAACATTTTTATAGTATCTACGAAGTTTTATTGATTAAGTATGTGTTCAATATATACCACTTTAAATGATTAGATTTCTCTTATAATTTGTCATATGACAAGTAGTTGCGGGTAAAATTAAATTACTTACATTAAATGAGAAATCGGCATCAATTTACAATGCAAATTGTGTGACGGGGAAATTATTTGTTCCTGGTATTTAAACATTTCAAACCAAAATTAGCTAAAAAAAGCAATGCCATCGTAACGCTTTAAATATTACTATTTCCGCAACATAAGGCCGAATGTTTTTGCAATATATTTGCTTTTCTCGATGTACGGCAATTAGATTAAAATTTAATTAATGAATAAATAGATGTGATCGCGAAGCTCTTCTAAATTGCAACCCTCTTTTTTAAAGATTATTCGTGAAAATGCACGAAGACCAATACAGGAGATGTACAATATCTCTCTCCATTAATTACAGATTTATTAAAGATCTTGGTTATGAAACTTTCAAAATATTGGATACTCTTCGGAGTGCTTGCAGCTAACAAAGTTAATAAAGCTTTATATAGTCTTCATTTTAGTTTACGAACTTGATATTATGAAATTGTGTATATGTATATTAATATGTATGTATGTGTCAAGATAATGTACATACACTTGTTTGCTCTCTCCTAAGATAAATCGAATACAAATTCGTCCGAAATATCGCTAAAATATATCACCGTTATTCTCTCGAATCCTACACACACAAAAATTTGATTTTATTAGGTATAATTTTTACAATCTTTGTTTGTAATTTACGTAAACATGAGAAACGAAATTTGCCATACATTAAAGCGGAAATTGTGTCACGAAGATCACAAGTTGTTAAAATTGCAAATTTAATTTGTCGCACATTAATTGTCAAAAATCAAATTAAGCAATATGGTAATACTCACTACCATATTGACGAGCACCACGTTGTTCGGTGTCCAAAGCACATCCATGTCCCTGAAGACCGCTAGGATGACCAGCAGGTTAAAAAAGAACCCGAAAAAACCGATGAAACCGAGTACAATTGCCGCGAAAATATAAACACCAGGTGTTGTTTGTTGCTCGACGCTGAGAACGTCGTCCAAAAAATTGGCGCTCGCATTCAAGAACATACTTTCTATCGTCGAAAAGATTTTTCGGTATTAACGGGCGGAGAGAATCGGGCAAAGCGAAGCTCGATCGATGATAACAGCGAATCAACATCCGTGAAAGATCCGCGACTCACTTGATCACGAGTGATAAGTTCGGCGGAAAGACAAGTGGCAGCGAACGCGGCAAATCTGTCCCGTCTGCATGTTCCAAAGTCACGCCGCTACCCTTATAAAGGTCGATTAGAGCCGCCTCTGCCGCACTCCCCCCGGTCATCCGGCAGACAACCAACCCCCACAGGGTGAAAAAGCAGCATGCGCGCGGGTCACTTGAATCGGTGTTTTTTCATCCAAGTACGTGCACTCACCGGAGAATACACTCATTTTTTTTATTTATAATCATATAAGCATAACTCTTTTATGTGGATAATTTTTATACTCAAAGTCTTCACGGTCGAAACCAATCGTAAAGCTATTTAATTAATTCGTTCTTTATTTCTTTCCATGTGGTTTCTGTCGATATCGATAAAACAAAACTACGGGATCGTACTTACAAACGTTTGTCGGAGTTAATCGCGTTTAATTGACTCTGTCTTTTTAATTAACATTTATGGGGGATTTGTACCTTCCTTTGTATCGATGTTTTAGTTTTACCAACATTCGTTGGCTCGAGCAAAGCTCGCTGTAATTTAGCTGTTTGTCTTTCTGTACTCCCAGTTTTTGAACGATGTAAAAGCTTAATCAAAGTTCACTACCAACACAATCGATCTTAGATACGTCGATCGGAAAAAATTTTGCGAGATTCCGAAATGCGTTTTGTCCGCAGAATAATTCTCCACTGCGCTCACATACAAAACTCGATACTGTCGTTATTATGCAGCGCTGACAATTGTACGTCTTCGCTGCAGATGAAATTCCATCTGGTTCTCTAAAGTTCGCTGAAGTTACGAGATATGGTATTATCTTGCAAAATAATGGTTCTTTTCTATAAAAATATAGCGTTCTTGGATTTTCCGTGTATTTGGATTGATTTCGCGACTTATCGAAGAAAGACGTTACTTCCTGTTTTTTATTGGCTCTCTATTCCTCGACCAAATGCACATTTGTCGACAGTTAAAACTTCCAAAAAATTATAGAAAAACTTATCTATAGAAAATTAATATTAATATTGATTAATTTTCAATATAATAAATAATCGAAAAGTTGATGAAACGGTGCTTATATAAATCTAATTTTTTTATATTAAACAATGCGATTTCCATTTATTTTTTCTTGCATATTTTTAATTAACATTTTTTGAAAATTAAAATCGAGCATAGATGTTGAATTAAAATTATTCTAAAGAATAATCTATCTTTAAATGATTAAAATTGTGAATGACATGAAAATCTATCTGTGTATCATTCAAAGCGTTGTTCATGTATTGTATCTGAAATTAAAGCCTATTATATTGGCACAAAGTGATCATTCTCGTCGTTATAGTGAAATTTGTAGTTCTTGGAAATATCACGATTAAATTGGTATCGCAAGTTCAATCCTTAAATTAGGGTAATACAGGATAAATCCAACAGATTTGTGATGATATATAACGGAAACTTCTGCAATGTGCTCATTACGATGGTATCGTTTATTAGAGGTTAATCCCTACAAAGTCACGTTTGATTGTTCTGCGAATTGAAAAGCTGATGGCAAATATCGAGCCGATGTATTTTCGATCAATACATGTAAAAAAAAATTCTATGAAACTGTTTTATATTTTTGCAAATATTTACATTTTTGTTTCATTAAAGAAATCAATAGTGAAAGTGATACGCCGTCGCGTAATTAAATCAAGTTTATTCTTATTGAATTTCTGAAATTTGTATTTTAGAATCATAAGTATAAAAATATAGCATACAAGTGGCAGCAACAATTACTGCTAAAAAACTTTTCAAAAATTATAATGCGTAAAGTGCATCACTGGGTAAAATTAAGAAAAGAAAACAAAGCTTAAAATTGCATAATTCCTATTCTATATAAAAATAAAATTTTCGGATAAATATATCAATGTACGTTTTATTAATAAAGGGCAATATTCTTTATTTACTTCACTCATTGTTAAAATTGTGAACTATTGCATATTTGTATATTTAAATTATCGCTTACAATACAAAGAATTTCGACGGCAGTATATTTATATATCATTTTACATGTCCTCAGTATCACTGTCCGAATCCTCTTGCATCGCCTGCCGTGCCTTTGTCTCGGCTTCAGTTTTAAGATCAGCTGGTACGCGTTCATGCCTTCCATTGGTATGCGCACCAATCCAACTCATTTCTAATTCAAACTGTTTATCCTTCAGTTCGTCATGAACGAGATAGATAATACGAGCGGCTTCCTTCACTAGATCCTTACATGTCATCTCTGGTAATTTTAATTTTTCTATTTCCGTTTTTGCTGATTGTTTTGCTTTACCTACAAAACAGTATATAAGTAAAATATATGCAAAACTTCTTTCTTATATTCCAATGTTTTTATTACTTTTATGATACTTACCTACTGCACAGCCGTAATAACCGTACGATACTCCTGATGGGTCGATCATATACAATGCTGGACCGCTTGTTTCATAAGCACCAAGTAGGACAGAGCAACCATATGGACGTACAGCAGAGTACAAAGTATAGGCATGCATGTACATGGAGACTCTTTCGTTTAAGTACTTGAGCGGAATACCGACTCCGTACTGTGCCTTATAACTTGCAGCTTCTGACCTTGCGGTCTCTGCAATTTGTCTCGCATCTGATATTATACCAGAGACTGCCATGCCAACATGCTGATCTATGTTGAATATCCGTTTATTCGCACCTGCTTCATAGAGTTTTGATGTTACTATCTTTTCAACGGCAAATACTATGCCATCCTTTCCTCGTAAGCCAATAACAGTCCTATAAGATACAATGACGTATAAATAAAATACAAGTATATGTATTTTTTCATTAATATTTCAATTAGATATTTTATTAGGAGAATTAATTTACATTGCACAACATTAATTGTCATCAGCGAATACTTTTGTAGTCGAGTTTATGAGAGAAACTGATATTTTTGTAAAAGATAAAATTAACGCAATACTCACCCTCCATTTTCCACGGCTTTTTGAGCGTATTCTACTTGAAATACGCGTCCGTCTGGCGAAAATTGCGATGCAGACAGGTCATACTGAAGAAAAGTTGAGGTTAGATATCAATATTAGCTGTATTAACGTTACGTTTTTAACTGTATTTGTGTAATACATGGCATACTCACTCCTGTGCCTATGGAACTCATTTCTCAGAGTTATGCAAAGATCGGCAGTAGTAATAATTAAAATACGAAAAATTGTTTATCGTCTACCACTACGTGAATAGGCGAAAATCAAACGACTCAGCGATAGTCAGCACGATTGTCAGGTTAGGTTTTACGACGACGCGCGTGCAATGTCGCCTAGCGGCAGAAATCGACATAATATATGTATGTGTATGTGTGCGTGTGTGATGTAGTATACAAGGTGTTCTCTCTGCGCCTTATATTAAGGTTAGATTTATTTAATATAATGTAGCTAATTTAAATTCAAGTACACCTTAAATTAATTCTTTGCAAAAGTTAACTCAACCGCAAAAATCAATAGCAAGATACCGAAAAGATATAAGAGAAAGTTATTAATTCAAATAGAAATATATTTTGCATTTAAAAACAATTGCAGGTATATAATTTTTTCCTAATTAAAATTAGTTTAAATTTTGCGTTTTATCTGTATCCATTTTTAATGTTAAATCTAATTTTAATCCTAAATCTAATTTAGATTGATTTTGTTTGAAGATATAGAACAAAATTCCCTTGTGCATTTTGGTAATTTCGTTTGAAATAGAGAATTGTCATATAATCCCGAGAGGAACTTCTCTATAATAATGTTTGGAAATTCAATCAAATCAACAGATTGCATGCTTAATGCATACACAATAGTCATATCAGAACATACGAGTACATATATCATTCGTAGTACGTATTGGTTCTGTTCAATATCAGTCACACTACCAACTTCTTATATAATTATAAATTAAGATTTTTTAATACATTATTCTTCTAGCACATATAATAAAATAATTTCATAATTTTTCAAATACAATCTTATATTTTTTATAAGAACAAGATTATTAAAAACTGCATTCTTAATTTTATTAAAAATTATTTTCTTTTCTCATTAATTTCAAAATTAAAAACTGCATCTTTAGTAATTTATTTTCCTATTTTTTCATTAATTATGATACTGTAATTTCTATTTTTGCAAAATATGTTAGTTGCAGAGTCAATACATTTATGAAATATATTAAGTTATTCTGTTATTGAATAATTTGATTACAATTATGGCAATAAAAATAAAATGTTTGTTGAAATTAATAAATCTAAAATTTTATTCGTAAAACATGATTCAAGCTTGATTTTAGCTTGATATAAGAAAGAAATATAGAATATTTGATAAATACGGCATTGATGTTTACATGTTATCTTTTTCGATTTGCAAGAAATTATTTATGTTTTCTTTTTTGCAGCTGTACTCCGGTGGACATTGCTCGATGCTGCCATACTCGATCGCTTTCCGAAATTCAGCAATCATCTTCTCATAGTTGTATTCTATTGGTAAGTGCCTATGAGAATATAAATTTTATATGACGATTTTTGCTATTTGATTTTGTCTGTGTTGAATATTATTTCTTATCTAATCTTTTATGGACATTTCCAAAATAATGTCTAGTTCAAAACATGTCGCCAATTTTTTATTCGTGTCAATTTAATTTTAATGAACAACGCTTTAGCTTTATATTAAATTATTAAAAAAAGAATTAATTATATTTGGTTAATGGAAATAATTATGAGGAAAAAAGAATTTAAGTCATTCTGACATCAAATAACTGCCAATCTGAGAAATTTTCGGCATTTATCGATATTAATATTTTTGCATTTTTTTGTGGAAAATGCGCGTTTTGTTTATTTCTTTTTATATGCTTTGTATACGTACTGCGGGATTAATTTCATCGTTTGCAAGAGCATTTCCGCCGCGCCGAGATATTCTCTGGCAATGCGTGGCTCTTCGCAAGCTGCTCTGTATAAACAAGTATCACCGATCAGATATCCGAGAGCTAACGCAAGCTCACCTTCTGACACAATATTTTCTGAAATTAGTAGAGCAACAGTTAGAATTAAATTATATCGCTGCATTTGTGTATATTCAATGAACTTTCATTAACAGTTGATAAAATTACCATCCTCTAATTCGCGTCCTTTGTAACCCTGCTGATGTCCTATATAGCCGGCGCCGAACACAACTGCTTTGAGCACCAAAAGAAGTAACAGATTCGAGAGATTTAAATTGAGAACCTGTGTAATTATATAATTAGTATATATTTGTGACGCCAGTTCAATCTTCTAATTTTTGACATTAAAATTCTTACAATGTAGCTTTAATTTGAGACAAATAATCTTCAAGTAAAATTCACTCTAGAACACTTAAAATAATTTTGAGATTTTAGTTTGCAATTAATTATGTTGAATATCGATTATTATTGAAGCAAATTCTTTATCCTTTAATTTTTATTAATGAAAAAATTACCTGACTACTGGTCGTCGATCTTTGCATAAGCTCTTTTGCGATCTCAGCCAACATAGATCCAGCATACTTTTTATCGTTGGTTCCTCTGTAAGAATCTCGATTGTCGGCAGTACGAGCGTACACGCCGCACATTACCAGTGCAACGATCACAAACACTTTCGCATTAATAATCATCTTTCTCGATGATACGCGCGCGCAAACAACAAGAGCGGTCTTCGATGAAGATCGTTAAATCTCACTGATCCCTTAAATTGTAAATATCATTTTTTTTATTATAAAAATACGACAGAATTTCTATGATTTCTTCGTCAAAGTTTCAAGTTTGTTGTATCTCGTAGAAATCTCGCAAAAATACTTAGTATGTCAAGTTGACGCGCTGACAAAACATTATTGGAATGTTTAGAGTCAAAGAGTAACGCTGCAACGATGTAACAGCGTACTTTTATATTGGTCGCGTGCGTCGCTCTTCCGACAAAGCGTGAAGCCGCCTGTTTTATCCGTGCCCATCTAAGCTCGAAGCTGGTAACCGTCAGCTTCTGATTTTCTCCATTGTGACGGCAAACCATGCAATTGTTAATGACACCCATTAGTCGCTCTCCAATTCTTCTCCGCCGTACGCCCTCCGCGCGCTTTCCTTGCCGCTTGACGGAAATAAGCGGTGAAAGCACGTCACTCGCGAACTTTTACTTGGTTCATCCGAATAAAATGTGGTGATGAAGTTAAACGGTTCATTCACGTGAACTCGCTCGAGCATTCCATTTGTTGAAGTTTTTTTATTGCTCTCGCAACATACCACTCTTATATCACTCACTATAAACACTATCGACACACTATTTTTATTTGATGCTTTTTGTTTAGAGAAAAATACAAAGTGCACTGTTGCAAAAGTATTTTTTTTGCCTCGCTGAAAACAAAATATTGTTAACACGATAATAAATATTTACAAAAACGAAAAAAATGTTGCACGTAAATTCTAGTGAATCTTTTTCATCCGTAAAATTTCAGTTCAGAGATAAAACAAGCGAACTTACGCAAGCAATAAAACGATCGGCTTTAGATCTTGCGCATCGAAATCGCGAATTATCGATCAAGTATCAGCGGCATTAACTTCTACATTATATTTTAATATTTTCTTGGAACGCGTGAGCGATTGCATAGTTAAAACCGCTATTTTGCAGATGGTGGAATAGTTTATGAACTTATAACGTGAATTGCACTGTAATAACCAGTCTATAGGCTCTTTCATAAAATATGTATTGATGAGCTAAACTTGCGTGACCAATTCGTTCAGGAGAGATCGAGCTGCTCAAATATGCACCGAGTAGATCGGGCAAAATAATAAGCCGTCGAAAAAAAACGAAGAAGATGCATTTTCTGAGTTTCCACTGCATACTTGATGTGAGATCCGACTCCTGCAAAACCTCATTAATAGTTGCTGCTGCCCCTGCTATTTTCGTTTCGTCACGTTCCGTCCCCTCATCTTCTTTTCCATAACATTTCTTATTCATCGCGATCGTCTGCGCACGTGCAAAGTTGTAGAATTTACATATTCTACTTTGAAAGAACTTTTTTGATGTATAATAATATGCTATGACGCATAATTATTTCGATCGAGGAATTTATGTTCAAGAAGCATGAAAATTTAACTTAACTCGCGGAACACAAAATATAAATTATGTATAATTAAATAAGTAGATAATATTAGCGATATGCATGTAATAGTTATTCATATTTCAATCCTTTCGCCTGTGGCTTTTTACAAGCGAATTGAAAGTTAAAAGAATAAAGAAGAAAATCGATATTTTAGTTTATACATATTGCATATGCAATTAGTGACTGTTATTTTATTATTTGATAGATAGAAAGTATCTTCGAATATTAAATTAACAAAATAAGTTTTGCACTAATGATATCCGTCACATACATGGCTATCAATACTTGATCAATACTTTATTACTTATTAATACTTGATCGATTATTGATCAGACTTTAGAACAATATTAAATAATATTTTAAAAACGTAAATATTAGTTTGAAACATTTTATATAGTAATCTTAAATTTATGTTTTAACATTTTTATATATTTTCTACAACTGACAATAAGATTTTGTTAGAAAATTTTCAGTAGCTTTTTAAAATTTTTATTAATAATTTTTTTTGGAAGAACTCTCCTGGTAGAAAGAACTATTTGGTATAAGAGAATTTCTAAATTGCATTATCTATATATTATAGTTAATAGTTTATTTATTGAACATTAGTTTGTTAGAGCATTTCAAATATCTCGAAAATATACTTTGTCTCTATCATGGTCGATATAGTTTCATTAAACAATCAATGTGAATACTTATCTTAATTATTTAGTTTTCGAAAGCTTTTCCTTTCAACGCGTAGATGCACGACATATAACCCATAGATCTCTTCAGAACCTGAAATCGATGTGCAAAATCGATTCTTTATCCTTTGAATTAAATTCTTTTAAATTAACATTATTTTCAAACAATATGAGAACTTCTTAGAAGTCAATAAAATTTGTCGGAAAAATGACTCATATTTTTATTAAAATATCGAATAAAATTCATATATTTTCCGATACGCAATTTACAGATATGCAAATATGTATTGATACACGGAAAAAATTTTATATTAAAAATTGCTATGTACGGCATTAACCGCGGACCGAAAATGTTTACTATGTTTCACATGTGAAAAACATAGTAAAAATTTTTATAATTCCTTCATGGTTTGCGGCTACTACCGTATATAGTAATTTTTTATATAAAATTTTCTCCGTGTATATAACGAAAAAGTATACAAAATTAAAACAATGTAAAGAAGAATAACAATTATTGATCTTGATTATCGATCATTTTCGATTAGTTTCATACCTCGCTATAAAGCTCTCGGTTAAAAGAACAGAACCGGCCGGCGGTGATGTGTAATGGTGATCGAGCTCGACACATGATGATTACGAGCGATTTTGCTTCGCGCGCTGACAAATTGTACCAACTGCATTCATATGCCGCGTCTGCTATTTTTGTGCTCTGGAATGTCAAATTCAAATAATTTCAAAGAAAACACGACTTGTAGAATTGTAGCTAATAACAAAAAGAGAAATCAGTGATTAC